ACAAATAAATCTTTAGTTTTGAAATAGAAAGAAAGAACTCTGATAGCTATCAGGGCAGCGTATTTTGGAAAATCGATAATATCATTCAATAAGAATAATATCTGTAGCTTATCTTCTAAGCTGAAGTCCGTTTAAACCGATGGATTTCAGAATACACTTAAAAAGGATTCATTAGATATGAATGCTTGTAACATAAGCAAGTCATTTCAAAATGTATGTAGAATATTTTTCAATTCTTTATTATAAGTGGACGCATTTTGAGAACAAACTAGAGAACCAAATTCGAATGACGATATCCAACCCATGTGCAATAAAATGTCGTAAGGCAAAGAATGTTTTTTGAAACTTCGTGTGTTAACGTTAACAAAACCGAGCTTCTTAATTACACATAATATAAATTCATTAAAACATTCGAATCATCTAACAACCAAAGTTTGGCGCTTTCATCTAATTATAAATTCATTACAATTTCCAAAAAAATTAAATACAACTAGAATCAAACATAATCACGAAGAGCAGATAAACAATAAATTAATGAATGTCTATACTAGAATTTAACAGTGTAAACAATAACTAATAAAGTTATTTTAAAAGAAGAGGATTTGTAATTAAAATCGCTAATAGTGTTAAAAACACTCGTATAGTCACATATTTTAACAAGACGACTGCATGGGGATACGATGTTTTAATAATAAATTGTCATTCAATTTTTAGATTCAAAAATAAAATCAGAATCAGCTATTAAATGGATTTTTACTTTGAAAGTAGTAATCAGGTAATATTTATTTTTAAATTTTGAACGTGTTTATTACACTTTAAATACCTAATCTTTTGCATAAATAACAATACATCGTTTTCCCATTTATGATTTATGATATGAATTACATAAAAAAAAACAGGTAAGTATGGAGATTTAATGTTTAAAGGATATAATATACAGTTAATAATAATTTATTGTAAATGGAAAATAAAAAAAATAAATATGTAATTGAAATACTTTAGTACTAATGTGTTTGATTGTATCGAATTTTATACATATTGTTACGGAAATAAATACTGCAAAATTGTAATGAATTAAGTGACAACTGGCAATGTTTAAATGATAGCATAAAATAATAGCACATCGCAGCCTTACGATAATCTATTATGGAATATTAAGTGTCGTATAGTCAAATAAATTAAATATGTTGTACAATATTGATGGGTTAAAAATATTAAAACATTAATCATTGAGGTTTGACGTAGTAATAAAAAGAAAGAAAAAACGATAAATAATGATAATTATTTTACAAATGCATTTAATAAATTACTGCTAGTTTACAAATATATATTTTTTTATAGTAAACAAGTACCATATTCTTGGCTAGAATACAAAAATGAATATTAATTTCTGATTAACGCAAAACATCTTAAATTAGAAAAAAGCAAAATAATAATTATATTGTTTCAGACTTTTCATTTTCTTATTGATAATTTTAACATTAATTTGGGTTTACAGAAATCAAACATAAATCGAGCATCAAAAAATGATTGTACTTTAGATGAGTAGAATTTAAAAAAAATTCTACTTAGAACACTACTAAATGTTAAAAGTTTTAACTCAAAATTAAAAAGTTATTTTAAAAACCATTTATTTTTTTGCAATATCGAGATTAAATGAGAATTTTATTTTTTTATAATCTTCAGACCAAAGTTCAACATTTAAAAAACCTTATTAGAACTTTTTACTATTGTATTACTCAAGATCATAAAATTAAAATAAAAATTAATTCACTAGGCACTAGGCAAGAACTACAAATGTATGAATAAATATTGAGACACAGTTTAAAAATATAATATAATATATTTTTAATGAGATAAATTTTTTAATCTAATTTGTGTAATCAAAACTATGTAACAGAAAATTAATATGTTAAATAATTATTGAATATTATTTTTCAAAATTACCATAATTTTAAGACTACATTTTCATCAACATTAAGGCACTATTTTAAGTGATTGTAACATGCAAATTCTGCGTAATGCTTATAAAATTATAAAAAAACATTTCTTAATGAACAAGAAAAGGTAAAGTTCAAAAGTTAAGCCAATGTATTAATACAAACCCCCATAGAAAGACAAAATTAGCATATTTGATAGCTAATTTTTTGGTAATTCTGAAAATAAAATATTTTGCTTACTGTCTTGAGATATTTTTATTGATTATTATTTATTAACTTTAGTATGTTATAACCGAAATTGTTAATCATTTCTGAAACTGGTTATTAAATATGAGTACGACAAAATTGGTTAATTTTTAAAATGCTGACAGTTTCTATAGTATTGTAATATTAAGGACTTATACTACAAAATAGGTAAAATACTAGGTAATAGATGATTTTAACAATTCTGTGCTAATACAATTGTTTTTTTTTTTTACCAGACTATTCAGACTGAAAGAAATTTCTCGGTGGCTGATAATTTTTAAGGATTTCGAAATAAGACATTTTCGAATTGCACGAATGCGGGTCTTGTAAATGTGTGAGTAGTACATAAGTGATCAGTGGTGTGTGGGACTGTGTGTAAAAGAAATAGCGGAACGCTCCCGCACAAGCATGTACAATTCACCACCTTTGAGTTGCAAGCGTGAACGGTAAACAATTTATGCTCATCAGTTGTGTGTAACATTTGTCTATTCCCTACCGATCGACCTAATGATGCGACAATATTTCAGAAAACCGATCTGAATTCGTTATAATGTCTACTCGAGATTTGTCAGTCCACATTTAAGGATTTTTGATTTAAATTCGTTTGAAAATTTCGAAATTTCAAAATATTCAAACTAAATCTGTATTTAGTGGGTTAAATTTTTGTAAAAATGGACTGACCGATAACAGGTAGACATAATAACGAATTTAAATCAGTTTAAAAAATAATAACGCATTTCAAGATCGATCAGCAGGATGGACAAATGGTTGGTATAATTTGGTTAAAATTACTGTCCGTCGCTGATCCCCTTAAATACATATATTTAAAATAATATAATATAGGTATACGACCATTGGACACAACATTTAGAACTATAATATACTCATTGCTCAATAATATTACGAATCGTCGTGCCATGTGTATTAAACAACTACAGTTTCGATAGCTCAAACACTCGGTATATAAAAAAAAACACTTATTTAAAAAACGGTTTACAATTAATACTATGTTATATTGTGCGGGCTTAAAAATCCAAAGACAGTTGATTGATTACACAGTACACATACATATTATATCGGTCTTTGAACTCAGATGAATGTTAACAATGTGTACATGAATATCATTAGATTATCTTGTATGTTTTAAGAACAAAAAGCGGTGAGAAAATATATCTAAAATATTGAGTAAGTATGATTTAATAATAGAAACCATTTCTTATATACCTATTATAAAATCATATTAATATTAGTTATGTCACATGTGTAATATTAAAACTTTAAAACATATTGTATTGATTAGACAACAACTTATGATATCAAATATGTTAACAGTGTTTAATAATCACATACCTACAGCTAGGGCAAGAACAAATTGTGTTGTGGCGATTGTGATGAAATACGAAAAAAACGTAATTTAACGTCTGCATGAATACCTAAAAATATTATATTTTGATGCGGAATATCAATAATTTTTTTTCATTTGTTATTATACAACAATATAATATTAATCGCATATAATACAAAATGTAATAGACATGACAATTTTAATTAGAAAAATAAATGTATACACGAAAGTACGAAACAATAAACCATATATTATTTTAATGTATTATAAAATACGAAATATAATATATATATTGTATTATTATTTATTTCGTGGTATTTCATGATATACGCCTAACAAAGTTAATTACGATTTAAAAAACATAAATATATAGTATTTAACAAAATAAATTTATAAGAACAAGTGGACAAAAATGTAATTTCGCTGAATGGGTAATAATATTGGCGCCAAATAGTGTCGTTATTTCTATACTTATGCATTTGGAATAACGATAAATCATTACATTTAAATACCTAATGATTTTTCTATCAGTATTCTGTCAACTATAAGTTCTTATGGCATTTTTAAATTTGATGTGCTCATTATATAATGCTAAACAAAACTTGACTAATGATTTTTTTTTAATGTTCGGGGTTTAAAACAAAAAACAGAAAACAAAATAATAAATGAAGTACAAATGATAGTAATAAACGTACCTAAATAAAATAAGGAATTTTCTTTTTTTGTTCCAAATTATGAAAAAGTAAGTATAAATAATTTTTAGTACAATAAATGATTAGAACCGAATAGGAATCATTTTCAATCAATCAGAATATAATAAAATAAAGATTAAATAAATAATAATATACTATTTTTGATAAATTTGGCATCAAGTGCATTTTTGTAAGATTTTTATTTTCATTTTAGTACCTAATTCATTTATTGTGTAAGTAGTAACTATATACTATACAAAACATTGACTAAACTTAACACCAACTTCATCTGAATATTTTATATTATATTAAGTACCTACTGTACAATTCTGAGAACCTTTGTAACTCGTTTATTAATATGCAAAATATTTTCTAAAATAAATTGTTTCTTAATCTCAATTATAATACAAAATCGAATTTTTTGTTCAGTAATATAACACTGTTTAAGATAAAGATACTATACTATTAAGTATAAACAGCATAAACTATAGTAATAACTATACTCGGAGTTGATAAAAAAACCACAACCACAAAATATTTCTAAAAAACATCACTTAATGAACAAAATTGTTTATTTAACCATTTATAGTCTGTAACTAATTTTAATCCAAACAATCTGCAACTATATGGAAGTAAAATAAAAACACTTTGTACTGAAAACGTTTTGAGTATATGCTATCAAACCAAGTGATAAGAAATAATAATAAATATTTTCTAAAACGTGTTTATCTATTGTTTTCGGAACCGATATGGATAGGTATTCATATATTATACTATTATAGTAATTAAACATTGATCATGCTCTACATAATAAAATACAAAATAAATGGTATGAATTTGTAATGTTATCTATTAAGGAATCTATAAAATGTGTCATTTATAACTGTATATAATACTTCCTAATAGGTAGGTAGGTACTAAAGAAAAAACGAATCTATTAAACAAGAAGCGTCCACACACTTGGAAATGTTTTTTTGTGATTGTTACTGCTAAACAACTAAAATGTTTACAATTGTTCAGTATTTAGTTCAAAGTGAATTTAATAGCTAGATACATAAATAGCTACCATAATTTACTCGTGTGCATCATAAAGCAAAACAATACCTGTCGGAATATCATGGTCTTTAAAAAGGTATATTTACTATACAGTTTGTATACAAAGTTTTATATTTTATATCAGTTATCAATATAATTATTAACAAAATAATTTTATTTTTCTAAAATATGCCTGATAATTAAAATTCTACTCGTATTTTTTCATTAATTTCCCTTTTTACAGTTCAGTAAAACAAAAACATTGAATTATTTTCTAAGTGGAACTTTTTTCAACTAAAAAAAAATTCAAAAAATTTATTATAGAAAAATATGAAATATGGAGTTCATAATTTACTTGAGGTTCCTTATTTTTATAATTTTTTACTCTGATGGCATATTTTACTTCCGTAAACTATTTATTTAGACATTAAATTATTAAAAATAATAAAGGTATTTTCTTTAAAATTTAATTGTATATCAACATTTAGAGGAACAAAATAAAACTGTGTTTATAAATTTAAATTAAAAAATAGTACATTTAAAATGAGATTGGTTTAGTTATTATGAAACAATAAACTAAGTATTCGTAAAAATAAAATTTTAAATTTAATATCCCTGCAAAATGATAAATCTAGTTTACGTTATTAATCAATTAAATTTATTTTGTTTATTAAAACCTATCCGAACACAAAGAGAAATCAAACAAAGTGAATATTTGTTCCTTTTATTATATACTTTGATTAATTTATTATATTATTTAGGTAAAATCACAGTACATATATTATTTACATTGAAATTTTAAGTTTTTTAAGACAGGTTGGGTTTATTTATTATTATTTGATTCTTAAGTCTACAATGGAGTCAATGGTGTAAAAAGTCGAAATACTTAAACTTAAAACATAATTTAGGAAGAATTCAAAAACGGAAAAAGTACACTGTGGCTCATGGGCGCTGAACTTTCAACGGCGGTTGCCTATAACGAAGGACGTTTGAGCTTTCAGTTTCAGTAGCATTCCGTCATTTGTGCCGAGAGTAGCGACTCTGTTAATACGCAAAATAATAAGTAATAGTACAATTATTTAATTGTTTTATTTTGGTGATTTTATAAATGTGATTATTTACACAGTGATAGGAGCTACTATGTGTGATGTCAAAAACTTGGATTATTAAAAAAATTAAATATCTCCAAAATGAACTGATTTACGTTTTCAATAATATGCAAGTCTAAAAAAAATGTGTATTCGTTATGGATAAAGGTACTGTTATTTTTTTTTTTAATAATAATTAATCTCGATATTATAATATATAAGAATACAAAACGTTGGTTTATTTTACATTTCATTATCGTTTTTTTTTTTTTGTATTTTAGTAAAATCCATTTCTCTCAATTGATCAATTAATTGAATACAAAATATTACAAAGTAAAAAAATGTTCCTTATCTTACTATATACTAATAATAAGCACATAAATATAATAGAAATAAACAATTGTAATAATTTGAAAATTTACGAAACCATACATAATTACATTTGAAAACTATAAAATTGCATCTAATGATGTCAAAACCATTTTTTATGACAAATTGACCAGGAATGTGTTTTTTTTTAATTTTAAACCATTGATAAATCATTGCATTCAGAAAATAATTCTTATAAATTAACAATAATATGGCTTTAATTTGTTCGCTATTTTCTTAAAACGGAAGTTGCAGGAAGGTATAGGTACTAGGAAACTTAAAAACTGAAAAAATTCATCAAAAAATGATGAATTAAGTCAAATTTTAATTTGCAAATTACATTGTTTAAACAATATTTTGTTGTAAATATAACTGCAGAACGTATCTCTTTAGCTCATCTTAATAGAATAGATAAAGGTAAGACTTATTTAACATAAATTAAAGTACTGTTTTGATTGGTCTAAAAAAGGGTAAAGCCAAAAAAATTATCTGACATTTTTTGGACTTCAAAATTATTTACAATAATAATTGGTCTAAATGATTTAAATGTGTCACCATTTATTTGCATTTAAGTTAGGATGTTGTAGTGATAAAGGGTCGAGGACCACTGGGGTGGAGTAGTAAACATATAATATTATATTATATTGTAAAACATATTTATAGTCACATTTCAAATAATAATATTTAGCATACCTTGGTTTATCAGAGCTTATTTACTCTTGATGGTGAATCAGACTTTAAATCTTCAATAAATTCATAAATAAAAATATCTTTGAGGTTTAAGTATACTCTAAAGAATATTAAAATGTATCAACCGTGAAATTAGGATATTTTAAGAGTAACCTTTCATGAAGTTTAAGTTTGAATACCTACAATCACAAACTTTGTGAAACAATAATAAATGTTTGTATAAATGGTCGAAATTATTCACTATCTACCTAGTTTTCCAATAATAAGTTACAAAGATAAGATCAGAATTAAAATTGGAAGTTTCTAATTTCTAGGATTTAATCTGCATAGAAAAAAAATCAACATATTATTATAAAATGTTAAAAGAAGTATTCACTATAGTACCTATATATATTAAAATTATTTAAAAATTAGTAAATATTAAAAAAATACGTCTTTAAAAAATTATCAAGCATATCCTATTTCTAATCTGATCTCACGGCATCTTATTAAACTTTCAGAGCACGTTCACTATTCGCAAAAAATGTATTTCGGAAAAAAAACGTCATTGTATAACCAATAGCTTTCTTGAGACTGCTCGGAATCTAAATTATAACTTTATAAATAAAATAATAAGTAAAAAATACACATGCCAAATAACAATTATTAATTGTAAAAATCTAGATTGAACTAATTACAAAAAAATACCTTTTATGTATTTTTTTAACAGTTTGAAAAGAAAATAATCCAATATTAAATATTGAAAAAGTTATATTGGAGAAATAAAGACACTAAAGAATATATCGTATCTATAGGTAGGTTATGACTTTATAAGTATCGAATTGAATTAAAACCTATCCATGTTACTTTTATAAAGCAATAAATTATTAAAACTAAGTAAAAATACTACTTATGCGATTGAAGTTCTAAGCACGTATTATTGATAGTCTTATAAGTTAATAATCACTAAAAATATTTAGAATTACAATAATACCTGCTTTGTAAGTTGTAACAATGTATAATCTGTAATCTATGGCATTGATTGAATATTTGTGTTATATTGAAAATTTTATAATAACCAAGTACATATTCATATAATATAAAATATATCATACTGGACAAATTATTTTAAAAGACATGTTATTTGTTTTTGGTTAGAGCCACACAATCTCTCGAGAGACTAATGAGTAAAATTTCTTTTCGGAGTAAAAATAAATTCAATTTTTATCGTTTGAATTAAAAATATATAGTCAACTTACTCTGGTATTTAAGTATTTAAAATTATTCCAAAAGTTAACATTATATTATATGGGTATTATAATTTTGAGGGCGCGATAGTGATACCATTCGTCTCTGTCATACACACATGTAGTATACCTAGTAAAAACGGTTGCTATATTTTATACATGGTTGATATTAAGATACCTTTTATACAAAATGTCATCTGTTTTTCCGGAACCTTTTTTCAATAATTTTTTTTTTAAGAATACATACACCTGCTTTTTAATGGATCTTTAATACAGGAAATTTTAATGAAAATTTTAAAAGAATTTTAAACCTTAATATATTTAAACACTTATTTATAACAACCAACAAGTGGTGACAAGTTAGTGCCATTGCTGGTTGTTGCTTGATTCGATAATAGGATTATAAAAAAGTGGTATGTAGCGAAAATAACCACTTTAAAGCTATAGCCATATTGAGGAAACTGAATTTATACACCATAAACAAGATAATATTTGCTGTGCCGTAGCGTATATATATTTTTAAAATCATAAATACAAAAAAAGTTTATCATTGTTTAAAAATCTATTATTTTTTTTGTTCTTTAAACTTAAATAACTTTTAGATTCTCAGCGGAGAGCTCAATGTATTGATTTTTACAAAGATGTTTTTGTCACGTATGCTATCATATATTTTAATCATTCTCGTACTTAAAAATCACTCATTTGTTTCTTAAAAAGACTGGAATACAAAATGCAGATTTCTTTTTAAATTAGCATTGAAGTATTTAATGTATTGTATAGTGTTTATATAAATGCACGTATATTAATGTACAGGTTTTACAAAACAGTGTGTGTGTGTGTTCCTTTATATATTTAATATTCGTTTATTTTTATTGCGTAGGTCATTTATCACCTTTATAGGAGCAATCAAAATACTTCAATTATCAACTTTGAAGGTGGTTTTTGTTAACGAATTTATGTAATTGGTGCATAGGATGGAGAATAAAAATTTTCAGTAATCCCCAAAAAATTGGGAAAAACAAAAAAAAATTAAGGAAAAACTGAAGTAATTTCACAGCTACTAATTTCGATTTGTTTTTTTTAAATTTAATTCAATAATGAATGGCCATATAAACTTAAGATTTACACCTATTGATATTACCATTTCTATGCATGATATCATTTTTAGAATATTTTAAGTGTTTTATGTTACATACATCTGAAATATTCGACCAATTTTTGGATTTTTGTGTGATAAAATTTTTGTTTTTAAGTCAAAAAGTTCATATAATACAAAGTTCATTAAATGTATTCTTACAGCGATTACAAAATATATGATATGATTAAAATAACAAACATTATAGATGGATAGGCAACCAGAAGTGCCACTCGGAAGGTTGATTTGGTAGAACTAGAAATAGGCTAAACAATCATACGATAGAATATTATTATGATTATTCTATAATATATATGCGGCGTTTATGCAACAATTAGTTCAATACATAGTCATATAGTATTACTAATAGAAAAATAAATTACTAAATAATAGTGAGATGCATACATTTTACATAATATCCTTATAGAAATAAAGACCGGTGCTGTACAGTGCGCACAGCTCAGAATCGTTTTTCGCACATTTATAGTAGAATTCAAATTCAACGCGTCCATTACAGGGACAAGTGTCAATGACGAGGTACATCTACTTGAAAACCTACTTGCAGCAGGGTGACGACACCAGCAATTTTTATATTAATGAATCTTTTAAAAAAAAATTAAAGCACTAGGTACCTGTTATACAGAATTATTGTCTTCTGCATCTTGTATACCTTCATCTAAATTTGTTTTTTTCAAATATGACTTTTTTTACCTTAACGGTTATTTTTTTGCGCGAAACGGTTTTCCCCGACAATTTATGGGCAAGCTGCTAACCAAACCTATATGAAGATTTTATTCATTTAAAATGAAGTGCGTATTGAAAAAAAAATGTTATGAAAAGAAAATAATAGATATTGTTCAAGATATTTTTTATTATGTTTTGTGGTAATTGAATAGTATCCATATGGTATAATTTGAAAAAGAGAGGTTTGTATTTCCAAGGAGCGCTCTTTAAGTAGTACAAAAAAATCTCAAGAATTTGAAAATATAGTCCTCGAATATATATTTAAAAATGAAAAAATCAGATTCTTAATAAATGCATTATTCAAGAAAAGGGAGTGAGCATGCTTGGTGAATCAAAATGTATACATAAAAACCCATTTTTAAAATAGGTAATACAAGTTTTTCAAAAGTAGCACATGAATTGACAACCAATCATAATACATGTATATTTATTTTCTTGCATAACTAGTATAAACACAGAATCATTGTATTAAATGAATTTTGAAATATTTAATAAAATGTATGAATAAGGTAGGTACATTATATTGCACCAAAAATCTTTAACATTTTAGACATTTAAAAAAATATGATAAGTAATACCAAATAATAAATGCTTGACAGTTAGAAAATAAATATGCATTCATCTGAAAGACGAACACACTTAAGAAACATCATAATATGTACCAAATAATGCCATAAGAATTCACTTAATCGTTAAATACATATACAAATTGTTATGAAACTATGACTTACACTAACTACTATACTGTTGCACTTTATTTATTTGATTTTATAACGTTATGTGTGTTTTTTTTTTTATGTATATATGATTCTTAGTTCAAAAAATCCTTCAATTTTTAACTACAATATCTTTTTCGGTTGGAAAAGGAATTTATTTTGAACATTTTGGAGGTTAAAATTAAAAATTATCAACACCTACTTTTTTTAATAAATTCAAAAAATAAAAATTTGTACAAAAATCAATTTTTAACAAAATCGATTTTTTTATTTTGTAATAATTGCAAA